GTGTGCTTTGATCCGAGTCGGATTCAGCTTTCTCAGTGACCCCAGTGACCCATATACCAGCATTTTCACAGTCCACATACAACTCGCTAAGTGGTGACCACGGGTACACCATTTTTCTAACAGACGCGACGGCGGCCGGTAGGCACCCAGCCGGTGCCCGGTCGCTCCCGTGGCCCTGATTGGCAGGTTACCGAGGCTGCCAGTAACCACCAGCACCATGTGGTGACCGACCGGCAAAGGAACCGCGGCTGACAGACGTAACGGGCCGTCGACATGGGACGGGTCACGCGTACCCGGCCGTACTCGTACTGTGGGCGGTACCGTGCCGCGCAGAGGATTTACCGGACAGTCCAGTGTGATTTCGTGGGATTTTTGAGACACGCATGACGAGATGGACGATGAATGATGACGGAGATACTGGGAGGAGTGAGAGGACAGACAAAGATAGCGCAAAAAATTATCAGACATTTTCCGACGAACAGACGGAACTATGTCATGGAGCCTGATTCAAACGGCGCAAAAACAGGTCGATCCCACGTTTTCTGTGGGATACAAATCGCAATTGGGTATATCAGCATATCGGCCGAATCTATTCACTCATCCGGAACGACAGAGCGACGGAACACAAGAGCGGCTCAGAGTGACGGCCATGGCAGAGGACGTCTCTCCTTCTGACCGACCAGGGACAGACAATGGACGTTGGCAGCAGAGCGAGACGGTCAGATGTGCCAAGCGGGCATCGATGAGTGCCCAGGCAGGTGTCCCTTGTAAGGTCACCAGCTGCGATTCTGTGTGTGACTCTTCCTCAACAGATGTGGCGAATGTAGAAGTCAGCTATGCTGGCCGTCCAATCTTTATTCTGGACGTTTACAGCGAATGCTTAAATTTCGAAACCTCTCAGTAAGTACCAACCAATTTGGGATTTCCAAAGCCGATCTGACTGTGATTACAGCACCAGCTTATTCGTCCCGTTTTTCTTAACCCATTTATGCCCAGGAATATTGACCATCATGAAAATCGACGAAATCAACATATGTTATGCTCCTACCAGGGCCTTGTATGGAATCGAAAATAATTTTTGCCTGCAGCAAAAGTTTCTCGAGAAAAACGTAAAAAACATGCGTTGCGAAATCGCAACGAAGGGCACACCGGGCGCCATCAGCGTTGCGAAAACGCAACGACGGGCACATCAGACGGACATAAAGTACACTGAACTGCCGTATATGCTAATATATTTTGACAAAACATCAATCAACTGTTGACAACTATTGCTTGAAAATGCGGAACCCACATCCGTCATGCTCTATAACCCGCCTAAGAGCCTCAGTGAGGAAGCATAACTTCATGATTCGCGAACGGGGAGATGGCAACACGGTCATTATCAACCATTTACGTTGTCCATTGCTGTTCATTTAAATTTGTGGTCGACACGTATCCAGGGTGATGCTTTCTTTTTGGAAGCTAGACAGATCCATTACCTCCACCTATCAGACCCTGCACAGTGCACACTGAATACAATTAAACGGAGGATTGGGAGTAAACCAGTGCCTCTCGTATGCGCGTATATCCGCAATCATTTTTAACCACCCTCCTACCTGAGTAAATTTAAATTCCATTGCAGGTTAGTCGTACCCACTCTCAGCAAAAAGAAAAAAGGACCGATCCGGCTCTAACAAATTACCCGCGTAAGGCGTAGCGCATCACAACAAATCGACTCCCAGTTTATCATGTTTACACCTAATCCAAAATTTTCATGGCCCCACTCTCAGCGACCTTCACGTGTAACCTCTTTCTCGAGACAATGCCAGGACAGAATGGTGATTCGACGTCAATCCGTCCTTTTCATCTTCAGGATAGTTGAATCCTCCTCCACGCCTCATCCCCCTGTTCCGGGCTGGACCGGCAACGTATATCGCAATCGGGCAGCTCACATAGGAGCGCGCCTGTAGCCGGGTGCAGTGAGTGCTTGGGAGGGGGGAAGGGGGTGGGTCATGGGTGGCGGCTGCCCACTGGCTGGGCTCAGTCTCCAGTCTACGATTGACCGTGTCCGGTCAGACAAATGTCTCCCCTAATTCCAATAATCCTGCTAGCTCTAAAAATGGTCTGATTAGATAAAAAGCCTATCAAAGTAAGAAAACAGGCGTATACTCCACATCAAGCAGCTTATGAATCTATGCGAGTTATGAATCCTAAAAATTATTATTTTCCCATGGGTCCGCCCTCATTACCCCTGCCGAAGGGCTCAGCTACCCTCAGAGGGGGCCTATCCCACTATTTGCCGACCCTCAGTTATCTTTTCTAACGTAAATGCTGGTAGTCAGCAGATTCTATCCAGAGAATGGCGATGCCTATCTGTCGCCTGATACCAGAATACATCCCCGTTATTCATTATTTATGCACAATGTACATAGTAGATCCAATTTCCAAAGGACCTAATTATCTCTCAGCTCCGTTAGCATCGCCGACCGTTTGATGCATGGGTCCTTTTCCTACCATGCGATTTTCAGATGCATGGGAACACATTGCTTAGTGAACGAACAGCCCGAGGCCGAAAATCTGCGAGAGAAAAAGAAAGGAGTGTTTGTGGCTGTTTGAGCCAGCAAATATGAAATGTGTCGCAACATTTTACGTGCGAACGCACCTTGCACTAAACATACCTATATACGTCCCTCATGGCATAGGCGACGGAGCGGGGGGAGGGGGCACCGGGGCACCGTTGACCGTGCCCCCTTGATTTTGCCATTTTAACATTATCCCGATAGGCGTTGCATGGAAATGGAAATGGAAAGAATGAGACCAAAAGTCAGCAGTGCCCCCCCCCCCCTTAATTGAAGATGTTCCGCCGCTACAGCCTCATGGCTACAAAATGAGAGAGAGAAAGAAAGAGAGAGAAAGAGAGAGAGAGAGAGAGAGAGAGAGAGAGAGAGGGGGAGAGAGTTGGGGAACGAGGAGGAGAGGGAGGAAGATGGGGGAGAGAAAGAGAGAACCCACAGCGTATCACGAGTGAAGTCTACTGTTGATATTCATACTTCCGCTACCCTGCCAATGTGCCCATCGTTGCGTTTTCGCAACACCGCTGTCTTTCCGATGTGCCCTTCGTTGCGTTCCCGCAACGCGACCGTAGTCATATTTGAAAATAGTCACAAACCCTTTTTGTAGCATTATTTCTTAACAAAATGCATATCTACGCTATTGTAGGGACTCTGCAGAATATGTTTACACAATTTTCATTACGATATTATTAAGCACTTAGCCTACTTATCTTGGTTTTCGTGACGTCATCACTCACAAAACCTTCGACTTCCCTCTGGGAGCTCTAGGCAGTAACTTACCGGCCGCACAGACTTGTAACTGCGTAGTATCATGCGCACAACCATGCTACACACGCTGAAACTTGTCTCATCGGTTAGTCTCTTTTACACACTTCTCAAGCTTCGATCACGTCGACGCTTGCTTGCGTTGCGAAAACGCAACGAAGGGCGTAAATGGGTTAACACAGCCGCATATGCATAGTCGTGGCATGAGTGTCACTCGGGTAATTCAGATATCTGACTCACGCAGATTCCTATGGTAGTGGAACGGTTCCATTCAGTTGGCGTCACGCCGCGGGGGGTGAAGGGTGAAGGAGGTGTCTAGGAAGAGTGACATTCGCACTCGGCCGCAACCCGCTCACTGAGCTGTCTGGGACTCACCCGAATTGTCTGGGAGCCAGACACGTCCCGAGGGTGTGCCTGGGAGGGAAAGCAACGCTGTCTGACAGGGTGTCAGTCAATCAAGGAGTGACGTAAAGGTATGTGACAGTTATGGGAAGAGAGTTTGGGCAGGAGTCAGTGCCTTACTGGCGTGCTTAGAACTGATCATGCAAGTGCGTGTCGGAATATGATGCTGCGCAGTTTCAAATGAGCAAGAATGTGCTTGATCAGGAAGGGCAGAAAGGAACGAATCCAAGAGCGGATCAATGACAAGCGCTGGTCGATGCCAGGTCTGGCAATTTTCCTGAATGCAGGATGCATGAATAACTCTTTGAATTGTGTTGTCTTAACAACTGTTGGGAAAGGGACCACCCAGCCCGCTTCCAGCAATCACTACAGCTTTCTGCACAACCGAAAACAGCGCCCGAGACACGCCTAGTTAGGCGGCAGTCCAATTTCGAAGGGGCGGAAACCAGCTCAGTGAACACGACATAGGCTGGACGAGTGACTGACTTTCCGGTTAGCGACGCAAGGAAACAACGGACTCCACTGTTGGGGTAGGCGCTCAATGAGCATTTTCCGATGATCACCGGGGTGTCGTGGCGTGAAGCCCGGGTAACAATCGACTTGCGGTGCCAATGTTGTGAATAACGGACTAAGGGACATCAAGACCAAATCACGTCAACGGCCATACGAATGCCACCTATCTAGGGCGCAATACGTAATCACTGCATCGCCCATGTAGCCAAAGTGAGCTATCGATAAACGTTTCGCATAACAAGGCTTCTTCGTTATTGAATGGCTTAACCATTCAATCGGAAGCATCGAGTGAGCTTCGAGAGATAAAACTACCTCGCTTATTTAACAATGCCTCATACTGAGTGCCTAACCCTGACGTCCTTGTATGGCAGTCCAGATCTGCCGGCAAAAACTGCCGAGCTGCTATCCTATGCAGAACGCGTCCGGACCAGTGAGGTCACCCGATGGTTAGGGCACACCCTTCTAAAACATCCCTGTTCGTGGGGTCAAGACGCAAGCACTCGATCCGCAGAGCAGTAGACAGGGAGATTCGCTCTCTTGAGACAATTTTTATGTAATAAAAAACTCATCCTAAAAAATCTAATAGCTGGGCTGCTAGCGCGAAATGAATTTGGTGCCATTTAATCTTTCCTCTAGATAAGATGCCTGTCACGAAAAACCTATCTGTGTGAAAAGACGAAAAACCACCCGGATAACAGCATTATTGTCGTGGAAGTTCCTGATCACCTGTTGAATATTGTTCAGTACCGTACCGTATCGTTAAGCGCCTGTACCGTACAGTGATTGACCGCTAGCGACATCTATTAGTTGGATTGGGTTGTGCGGATTGTGGCCGCTGCCGACTGTGGCTCTGTTAGCTGCGACTTTGGTATGTGGCGCGCGGTGATTGGCCTTGACCCCGAGCAGCTGTGCCACGCCCGCGCACAGACAGCTGTTTTCGTTTTTTTGTGTGGCATTGTGGCTTTTTCTGTTGGCACGGTTGGAGGCGTTTCCCCAATACAGTGCATCGGATTTTTGATTCTGCTTGGTCTTCTTCGCCTGCTACGGCCCGGCCCGACCCTGCGATTCAGCGGTCGACTTTATTCGGAAACATTGGTGCCGAAACTGTCGGGATGGCGGAGGAGAGGAGCAGAATAGCGGCTAAGGGCTGGCTGACCCGCGCTGGGTCCAAGATGGAGGCGTTGTTATGCCGAGAAGACGCGGGTTCCGACGAGTGGCGTTTGGAGGCGCAGATCGTGGAATCTGAATTCCTGAAGCGGCTCGATGCGTTTGATGCTGCTCAGGCCGCGTTTGAAGCCAGCCTGAACGACGAGGAAGAGCTCATGAAAGATATCGAGCGGAGTGCAGCGTTCCGTGACACCTTCACCGGTCTGCGCGCTCGCTTCCGTAAGGCTCTGACGGCTGATCAGGAGCCGGCTCTCAGCTCGTCCTCACATGGACAGGCAATGAAGCTCCCCAAGTTATCACTGCCGACCTTTGATGGTGATGTGAGGGGCTGGCCTATGTTTTGGGAATCATTCTGTGCTTGTGTGGATCAAGCTGAACTTCCTGACGTGTCTAAGTTTTCTTACCTTCGGTCACTACTGAAGGGGGAGGCCTTGAAGGCTATCAGTGGCTTGGTGCTCACTGGCTCAAGCTACAAGGCGGCCTGTGACATCCTCCGTCAGAGGTATGGCCGCCCAGAGAGACTCGTCTTTCTTCACATTGAGGCGTTGCTGAATGTGAGCCTGAACCAATGTGATCTGCAACATCTGCAGGATGAACTGATGTCCCACATCAGAAGTTTGGAGGGCCTTGGTGTTGAAGGGGAGAAGTTCGGAGTATTCCTCACCCCCTTGGTGCTCTCTAAGCTCCCTGAAGAGGTCCGACTGGAGTGGGCAAGAGGTTCGGAGGGAAGAGAGAGTGATCTGGAGTACCTCCTCCAGTTCCTTGCCTCGGAGATTCAGAGGAGGGAGCGCTCTGGCAACTACTGCCACCTGGAGCGGGTGGATCACTCTGCTGCTGCTGCTCCTGCTGAGGGTGGCCGCCGATCGTCTTCTGGACAGCCTGGTGGTCGGCTGGGTGGCCGCCCTGCTCGGGCTCCCGGCCGCCTCAGGCAGTTCACTGGGAAGCCATCACCTGCTGGTTCTACAGCTGCTGCTCTGCAGGCCTCATCTGAGACCACCTGTGGCTTCTGTCAGGGACCTCACCTATCAGATAAGTGCAAAGATTGGCTTAAGTTAACGCGTGAAGAAAGATTTGAGAGGGTCAGAGGGGCTAGACTGTGTTTTAGCTGTCTGTCATCTAGCCACATGGCTAGATCTTGCTCTGTTAGATGTAAGGAGTGTGGTCGTAGACATCACACCATGTGCTGTCTTAGAAGGGAGGGTGTCCGGGACTCTGATCAGAGTAGGGCTGGACCTGAGGCACCCACTGAGAGGCAGCCCCGTGACGCTGACACAGCCTCTGCCTCTCTGTCTTCTCATACGGGAGGGGATCATGTGTTGCTTCCCACTGCTACTGTGCGGGTGATTGGGAATGATGGGAAACCTGTGTTTGCTAAACTGATCATGGATTCTGGGGCTGATCGCTCCTTTGTGTCTGAGGGGCTACTGAAAAGGGTCAAGGGGACATGGAAGGGCTCTGTCGAGATGGCATATGCTGCCTTTGGTGGTGGGAAACAGGACGGTGTTTATGATAAGTTCGAGTTACAGCTTGCTGCTGCAAATGAGTCTGTGTCATCTGTTCACAGGATTGAGGCAGTGCGCGTTCCAGTGATATGCGCACCTCTGAGACGCCCTGTTGTGCCAGCTCAGCTCCTGAGTGCCTTCTCACACCTGCCGCTAGCTGATACGTACTCAGACGACCAGGACCAGCAGATACGAGTAGACATCCTGGTGGGACAGGACCAGTACTGGGATCTGGTGAGAGCTGGCCTGTTCCGCAGTCCGGATGGCCTGGTAGCTCAGGAGACTGTCTTTGGGTGGGTGTTGTTTGGCAGGGCTGAGGGTCCCCCTGGGAGCCCGTCTGTTGGAGGTGGGGCCTCATGCCAGCTGCTGACCATGACAGATGTGCCTGTGGGTAGAAACCTGTGGTCTATGGGTGGCTCTGGGGACACTGTAGGCCTGGGGGATGCCACTGGTCTGGAGGACACTGCTGAGCCTGATTTGATACAGGAGTTTAAGGAGTCTGTGACCTATGATGATGGCAGGTACGTTGTGAAACTGCCCTGGAGATCTGATGGTTTGGTGTCAAAGCTGAGTGACAACAGAGAGGCCGCTGAGGCTCGTCTTTCCAGTTTGTCCAGGAAGTTAGATGGGAACCCCCTGCTGAGGGAGAGATATGATTGTGCCTTGAGGGAAATGGAGACCTCTGGTGTGATTTGTGAGGTCCCAACTGAGGAGATGTGCTCTGAATTCCCAGTCTATTACATGCCACATCGCCCAGTGGTGAAAGAGACTAGTAGGGGGATGAAAGTGCGCCCTGTCTTTGATGCATCTGCCCGAGGCTACAATGGTTTGTCATTGAATGACTGCGTGGAGCTAGGGCCGGCGTTGATTCCCAGTCTGCCGGAGGTTCTCCTGCGGTTCAGGAGATGGCGATTCGGCTTCTCCGCCGACATCGTCAAGGCTTTTTTGCAAGTCAGGCTTGCACGTGAGGACCAGGACGTGCACAGGTTCTTATGGCTCTGTGAGGGCAGAGTTAGGGTGATGCGCTTCCAGCGCGTGACGTTTGGTGTTGCTTGCAGTCCCTTTTTGCTTAATGCAACTGTTCAACACCATCTGTCCCAGTATGGTGATGAGCCTGTGGTGCAGGAGATGAAAGAGAACTTCTACATGGACGACCTGCTTTCAGGAGCGGACTCGGAGGCAGAGGTTGTAGCCATGTTCAGGGAAGCGCGCTCCATCATGGGAGCTGCTGGGATGGAGCTGTCAAAGTGTTCGTCCAACTCTGCTGTTCTCTTCGGTGAGCTCGAAGGTGGCTCAGTCAGTGACAGCGTGAAGGTGCTTGGTGTGACTTGGTGGCCCGACGACGACACTTTCTCCTTTGTAGGTCAACTCCTCCCTGATGATGTTGTCCCAACGAAACGTGTCCTGCTTAGTCTGATTGCTAGACTGTTTGACCCTCTCGGGTTCCTGACTCCGTTCACAATGCTCGCTAAATGCCTTTTCCAGGACCTGTGGGAGCAGGGTTCTGGGTGGGACGAGCCGCTTCGGGGCGGCGATGCTGAGTTGTTCAGGAGCTGGGTGGACGGTCTTCAGCTGCTGCAGCGGCACCGGATCCCACGCTGCTACTCAGCTGGCGGTGGACCTGACTGGTCCTCTGATGCACGTAAGGAGTTGCACGTTTTCGCTGACGCGTCGCCTAAGGGCTATGGTGCAGTGGTGTACATTCGCCTCTCACTGCCTGATGGGTCCAGTTCTGTGTCAATGGTGATGTCAAAGGCCAGAGTGGCTCCTCTGAAGAGGCAGACGTTACCTCGGCTGGAGCTGATGGCTTGCCTGATGGCCAGTCAGCTGGTTGAGTTGGTACGAAAGGCTCTGCGTTTGCCTGACGGTGCCTTGTGTACATGCTGGTCTGACTCGATGATCGCCCTCGGATGGCTGACAGGTGATCCTCGGAGGTGGAAGCCCTTCGTGGCCAGCCGAGTGCGCCAGATCCAGTCTCTGACGCCTGTGGCGTGCTGGCGTCATTGCAGCTCATCCGACAACCCCGCAGACCTGCTGACGCGGGGCATGTTGGCCGATGATTTGCTCGTGTCTCGGCTGTGGCGCTCTGGTCCTGACTGGCTTCGTGTAGCCGCCCAGCCGCTCCAGGTCAGCGACGGGACGGCGTCCTGGGTGGACGCCTCGGAATCGGCGCAGCTTCTGATCCGAGAAGAGATGGTGGCTGTTTCTGGTGAGCCGGCGCGTGAGGTCGGTGACCTCCGCGGCGTCCTGTGTGACGCGAGAGTGCAAACAGTCCTTTCGGAGGATGCTGCTGCACCATGTGCCCCCACTGATGTCGGAGAGGGGAAGTTGCTGTGTTCTGACGACGCAGTGGCGGCTGATGGGGCACCAGATCCGCGGGTGAGCCCGCCCCCTGACGGAGGAGTCGGTGCGGCGGCGCCGCCCCGTGCCGATGGTCCAAGTGACCGTGCTTCTGTCCAGACGAGGTTGTTAGACCTCGACAGATTTGGATCACTGAACAAGGCCACCCGAGTGATGGGTTGGGTTCAGAGATTTGTCCGGAACGCTCGTGGTGTGAACCGCTGCAGCGAGCAAGACCTGACGTGTGCTGAGATGACTGATGCGCGGAACGCTCTGTTTCGCCTTGTACAGGTTGAGAGTTTTCATGCTGAGATGACAGCTCTGAGGATGGGTGGTAGAGTTCCAGCCAGCTCGCCACTTCACAGGCTCTCGCCCTTCTTGTCTGATGGTCTGCTGCGTGTTCAAGGGCGACTCCAGTTTAGTCAGCTATCTTATGAGGAAAAGCATCCTATTATTTTGCCCAAGGGGCACTTGTCGTACTTGCTCGTTCGTGAGCAGCACCACCTCATGCATCATGCTGGTGTAGCCACCCTGCTGACTGCTGTGAGATCTGAGTTTTGGGTGCTGGGGCTCAGAGCCATTGCTCGCCGCGTCGTTCGTGGCTGTCTGGCGTGCCGTTGGCAGGATGCCAGGGCCGGTTCGCAGCAGACCGCCCCTCTGCCGCGGGATAGGGTGTCTCCTGCCCCGCCATTTTCAGTCACTGGCGTGGACTTCGCAGGGCCACTGTTTTCTGTTGATTTCCCACGGAAGAAGTTATACGTTTGTCTATTTACCTGCGCGGTCACTCGTGCCGTGCATTTGGAGCTGACCGAATCGCTGTCGCTGCCGCATTTCATGCTGGCGTTCCGCAGGTTTGCTGCTCGGAGAGGTGTGCCGTCCACTGTCTATTCCGACAACGCGACCACCTTCAAAGGCGCCGACGTTCAGCTTCGCAAGTACTTTGGGCGGCTCTCTCCTTGTTGGAAATTCATCGCCCCCCTCTCCCCGTGGTGGGGGGGTTGGTGGGAACGTCTGATACGTTCAGTCAAGGTCGCGCTTCGTAAGTCACTGGGAAAGCGCTGTCTGACGCGCATTGAATTGGAAACCGTGCTGAGTGAGGTCGAGGCTTGCATTAACTCGCGACCACTCACCTTTCAGGGTGACACTCCAGATTGTCCGGGACCTCTGACGCCAAACCATTTTTTGACTGGGCGCAGTGTAGGGTTTCAGGCCAGGGCGGCCGAGGATCCGTCTGCCGTGACTGCGCGGGCGTTGAGTGACAGGGCACGGGTCTGTGAGATGCGCCTGTCCAAGTTTTGGGCTGCCTGGAGGAATGAATACTTGAGGACTCTACCGCCCGCAGTGAGCGGTAAGGGACAGGGTAAGCTAGAGGTGGGCTCACCTGTTCTGGTGCACGAGGAGGGGACCCCCCGGCTTAAGTGGGATATGGGGGTGGTTACTCGCGTGTTCCCTGGGAGGGACGGCTTGGTCCGGTCTGCTGAGGTGAGAACCCCTGGTGGTCTGAGAACGAGGTCTGTACAGCGGCTTCATAACCTTGAAGTCCTTCCATCCTCTCTTCCTTCACCCGGGTGTCCTGCCTGAGTGCCTCTTGCAGGTCCCTCGCGCACTGCCTCAGTGGTAGGCATTTTAAATATCAAGTCGTGTTACGTTTCAGTGGTGTGTCTGTATGAAATGTTTGCACTTTATTTGATGTAGGTAGTGAACATATGCATTGTTCACGGCTCTGTTTCTGTTATTCATTGGCTCTGCCAAGAGTCGGCGGGAGGGTGTTGAATATTGTTCAGTACCGTACCGTATCGTTAAGCGCCTGTACCGTACAGTGATTGACCGCTAGCGACATCTATTAGTTGGATTGGGTTGTGCGGATTGTGGCCGCTGCCGACTGTGGCTCTGTTAGCTGCGACTTTGGTATGTGGCGCGCGGTGATTGGCCTTGACCCCGAGCAGCTGTGCCACGCCCGCGCACAGACAGCTGTTTTCGTTTTTTTGTGTGGCATTGTGGCTTTTTCTGTTGGCACGGTTGGAGGCGTTTCCCCAATACAGTGCATCGGATTTTTGATTCTGCTTGGTCTTCTTCGCCTGCTACGGCCCGGCCCGACCCTGCGATTCAGCGGTCGACTTTATTCGGAAACATCACCTATGTCATGTAGTGGGGTGGATTATCACCGATTATCTGTTAATCCACCATCCAAAGTAATGATCGGTGCGATAGGTGCCACAATAACCACTGAACCAGTTAAAAATATCCATGTGATACCGAACCGTATCGCTAACATGACTCGCACTAGGCCACCAGCGCAATCAACAGTCACTGCCAGCGGGCTCCTGCACCTGCATCTGACCTCCCACAGTTGCGCCGCGCCGCTCGGACCGATCATCAGATAAGACTGCATGTTTGTGGTCGGTCAATCTCTCAGCCTGCCTGCCTGTATGGGCACAGAGCAGCGAGCCACGCTCCAGCAAACCGACCTTGGCTGGCCTGAGACCGGTACGGCGGGGCGGGCGGGGCAGAGAGGGGCGGGGCGCGGGGAGAGCGGGGTCAAAGGTGACGGCCCAACACCGTGCCGCGGGCGGGAAGCCGAGACCCCGACGGACCTCGCGGCAGGAGAGAACTATGCTGACTGGTTTCCGGCCAACGAGGGAAAGTGAAGACAAATGTCGAAGCGGCCCGACACGGGTCAACCGGGGCCGGGCCGCCACCCCGGTCACGCTTGCAACAGCGCTGGCGGTGATTACTTGTTTCGAGTTTGTTGTCATGCAGCTTTCAAACGAGCGGGCGTATTCCAGCAGCTGACGCCTAGTTTAGTGTCAACTCAAAGCGGAATAAGCAGTGTTTCCACATCAAACTATGGCCATTCGCCTCGTGACCACAATGTAACGCAAGGTATACTGGGCGGGCATGTTTGCGTTGGATAAAGTACCGAGAAATAATTAGGCATTCCTAGGGCGTCCCTACTTGTTCCTAACTTCCTACCCTGAAAATGGACCCACCAACGCCTCCCCGAGTACTTACTTGTCGTCGCGGACGTCGGGCAGGGTGCGGTGGGGCGAGATCATGTCGCTGACGTACTGGTTGAAGGCGTTATCCTTCCAGCCCTTATCCACCAGCTTCTGCTGCTCGGCCGTCAGGTTCTTGGGCAGCACGACCGGCTTGCCCTGCTCTCCGGGGCCGTCGGGCGCCTGCGGAGGCAGCAGGAAGCCGCGCTGCTCGCCGGCGTGTGGACCGTCGGATGCCGGGGGAGGGGCGGCGGGTGCTTCCGCAGCTCTCCAGGGCACGTTTTCGGCCACCCGGCTACGGACGAGGCGGCGCGACGGTCCGAGCACGCTCTCAATCTCCTCCCGAGCGCTGCGGATCGGCGGTGGGTGGTGCACCGCGGCGGCGGCCGGCGGAGAGTCGTCCAGCCGCGCGTCCCGGCGCTCCACCATGAGGACCAGCAGCACGACCACCCAGGCCACCGGCACGGCCACCAGCAGCTTGGTGACGAACGAGCGCCGCCGGCACACCGCCATCACTGGGTCCACGGGGGTCCACGGGGGTCCACACCAGTCAGCAGTCACTCGCACTGGCCCACGGCGCTCCGGGCGGTGCTAGGGTGGGCTAGTCCGTGCCGTTGGCAGTGTGGTCAAACGATGATGAAGCGGTCACAGAAAGCAGGCCGATGTGAATAAGCTGAAATGAACGAGGAAGAGAACGTTCGTCAGATGCACGCTAGACGAAAGGTCTTTACCGTTTAGCTATTCCCGGTAAGCGCTATAAAATTTCGGTTCGGTCAAGTGTTGTTGATTGAATCAATGATTATCGTAAAAAGCAGGCACAACGTCATACACAAATGTGATTTATGGATGTTGTAAAGCATCGATCAAGCGAGCCAATCCATGGGAAAGTGTTGTCGTCACAACAGGTCATCTGTTGTTACGAGCCGCATTCACTGAAATTGAGTTTAGGTACCCAATATCATGCGAGAGAGTCCCACAAGTCTTTTAACAAATACCTATTACCTATAAAAACTGTTATGCAAGTAAGAAAAAATAAAAGGATAGCCCCAACTGAATTTGATTAAATGTTTTTCATTTTTTATTGAAGTCAATGATGCAAGCAGATCAATAGCTTTTTATTGGTAGGTAGATACAGATCGAATAAAGAGACGTGAGGAGATCAAAGAGATCGAATGGAGATAGAATGCTGCTATACGAAAACAATACCTACTGGCTCTAGGTAATCTATTTCTTACTATTAACCCGCGCCCCGTTGGGCTCTGCCGAGCAACGCGCCCCGTTGGGAGGGGGGGGGGGCATTTTGGCCCCCCCCCCCCTAAGATCTCGAGAACCACGCAACCTAGCGACAAGCGGCAAACGGTGTTGGATAGCCCTATCAGGGAACTACCTTGTGACCCAATTTTATTGACCTAGGTCAAACCGATGACGTCACAGGTCAGGTCAAAGGTCCAATTTTCACCGTTTACAGGCATTTCAAGAAATGCGTTGTAAAATCGAGTCAAATGCATTTCATTGAAAATCATCGATGGGGGAATGTTCTTCAAACACATATTTTGCTATTTGAGGTCACTGATACCAGGTCAGGTCACAGAGGTCAGGTCACTGGGGGGTCACAATATGAAAGTGTCGTGTGATACATGTTTTATGGTCCATTTTACATGACAAATGCGATTATGTGGGTCAGGCAGCCTTTGGGGCCAGCTTAGGTCACGTTTTGGTCAAGGTCAGGTCAAGGTCAGGTCAAATTAGGTCAAATTTCAAAGTTGATATTTTTGCATAAAATGGGTATAGAATCGATGCAGCTCGTAACGGGGAGTTCAATAGTGGTCTTTGTTTTGCCGTACGTGGTCTAGAATCGCTAAAAATTGAGTTCAAAAATTTGACGTCATCATTTTTGAACAGTTTTTTCGCTATAACTTTGCCAAAAAACGAGATATCGATCTGAAATTTGGTATGTATATAGAAAAGCGCACGGGCTATCATATATATTCCAGTTTTTTCGAAATTCGGAAAATTTTTGGATTTTTTAAACGTTTTTCTAAAAAAATCAATTTTTGAATTTTTGGGGGTCAAAAACTCAAAATTTTGAAAATCCGAGATAGCAGTTTTGTAGCGTCGCTTTTTGTCTACTAGACCATATAAAGAGCATGTTTTTTGCTCATTTTCGCTCGAACATGACCTAAGTTTGACCTCAATAACTCCTGACCTAAGGTGACCTAAGACTTGAAATTTTGTGTGAAGGTGTCAAATTGATGCCCGGGAAGGTACTGAAAATTTGGCGGCGCTGCGCGCCGCCGTTTTCTTGCTATTCAGGAAAAACCACAGGGGGGGGGGGCCAAAATGGCCCCCCCCAACGGGGCGAGGGTTAATAGTCAGAGGCGAGTCGCCGACAAGACAATCAATTTCGCCAAGGATTTGTAATAAGCGTTTAACTCGGTGTTTGTATTGGCAATGGCAGTGCTGAGAATAATCGACAACACCGATCTTCGCCGTTGACCTTGCCCTCTCAACATATCTATAATCAAGTTCCACACTCCACACTCCACAGTCCACAGCCGGCACGGTCTGGGAGTGCCCGACGCCCACAGCACTCCCCGTCATGGCACTCAGCCCGCAGTGCCGGCGCCTGTGCCGGTCGGACGGGTGCCGCACGCCGCACCCGGGCCGCAGCCAGGGTCAAGGTCACGACAGGCGCGCGCGCTGCCGACTGCGCAGGGGCACCCGGGATGGTGACCTTCGCGAGAGAGGGTTTGGCAAAGACAAGTGTTCTTTTAGGTGACTCATTTGCATATAAATTTATACATGCTTTTTAGCATTATTTAACGTACCATATTCCATACATTACGTAACCTTCACGACCACTTGGACTATGATATTAAATTTGATGTCATTGTTTTCTACCGCATTGCCAGTTACCCATTCAAGAACACAAGAAAACGTGTGGCTTCCAAAAGCTCACGGTCAAACTTTGAACTGCATACACATCCGCCACTTCCAGCGATAATTTCGTAGCACATCGCGACCAAAACCAACCATCCCGATCTATATACGTAAAAGAACACCCAAACGGCCATCACCCCCGGGCATTGGTCCACGCCCCTTGGCCCAGCGACGCGGCAGCAGAACAGGCTCTGTAGCCGTTCCAAGGCTCTCCGCGCCTCCGCCGGCCGGCCGGCCGTTCCGGAGCCGGCTGACGACGGCGCTCCACCAGCGGAGGCGGTCCAGGGTTGTTGAACCGGCCCGGGGCGGCTGCCGACTCCGGCCCGGCGAACGTCCCGGGACGGCACACATGGCGGCATATGGTGGCCGGGGCGGCACGGGGATGGGCGGCGTATGGGAGACACAGGAATGGCTCAGGCCTGCCCAAATGTATCGAATGTCAATCCCTGTGTTTCGTGGTATTCGTATGCCCGCAAATCGATTATACCTATGTACTTACATATTACATGGGGTCATAAACAAACATCGAGCGACGATCCGTCATGGTGGTTGGTACAGTAATTAATGTTCAATAATTGCAGTGTTTTGCAGCCCTATACTGCTGTTGTACTTCATCCACCAAATAAGAAATTCGACGCCTGTGACATTCTTTCGTACAAAGTCAAATATTGATAAAATCAACGATAGATATTCTGAGTTATATGAAAGGCATGTCTTTCACATTGCAATGTGATAGGTATTGCATACCTAGATTCAGTGAAAGATGAGGTACGTAAAAACTGAATAGTGAATATGCCATATTGCGCCATAGGTATATGTTGAAGCATTAGGCACAAAATTAAGTTTTTTACGAAACCTAAAGCACAATTTGACCACGCAAAAACCAATCTACTACTTCATTTTCTATATTGATAAATGGCAAGAATGTGCACATTGTTAGGTTTCGCTCTTAAATCGCCTAAATGTTCCGCCACAAGGTCATCAGTCGAAAATCGATAACATTTTGGTCCCTGTGATCCTTATTCAACCCGCGCATGACTGGGGTATTTTCCATAACGCGAGTAACTGAGGGGAGGGGGTGGGAGGGGCTCTCCAGAGCCCCCTCCTATCTCCGAAACTACT